AGGATTTTCTTGCTTAATTAGATTCCTTTTTGAGGTTTACTTAATTTGTCTGCATCAATATGCCTTCTCTATAGCAATGGGGGATAAAAAGTAACTACCTTGAAAGAGAAGCAGGGTGCAGCCCAGTTGAAGCTAATACTGACAAAGTAATGTATTCATTGATCCATTGTAGATCAAAGGTAAAAGTGACATTTTTATACTGTGATGAATTTAGAAATTTCTGAAAAGTCATTGAAGATGTAAGATTTACTTATGAGGAAATGAATGCAATAAATTTAGATTTTGTAATATATTTTTGGGGATACTATCCAACATTTTACAATTTACTGAATCTAACTATTTCAGATATTTGCAGATTTTTCAACTTTTAAAATAAAAAGTGATTGTTAGAGACTCTTGATGTTTGTATAATTAGAAAGTAATGCATACTGCATATTAACACACAACTGGATTTCACACACAGGCTGAAGGAAGCGCTTCTCCTGAACCATAAGAATGAACATAAAATAAATTTTAAAACTTCTGATTAAGGTATGGGCATTACTGGCAAACCCAACATTTGTTGCAAACTCACCTTAAAAGGATGGTGTTGAACTGACCTCTTAAACTACTGCAGTTCTTGTTTTGTAGGGACACCCACAATGCATTTAAGGAGGAAAGTCCAGGATTTTGGTGAAGCGACACTGAAGGAATGGCTATAGAGTTCCAAGTCACGATGGAGAGTGACTTGGAGGGGAACTTGCAAATGGTGATGTTCCCATATAACTGCTGCCTTTATCCTTCTGAAATTAGTGGTTGTGGCTTCAGAAGGTGCTGTCTAAGGAGCCTTGGTGAATTGCTGCAGTGCATCTTGTAAGCCATGGACTGGATTTACTCACGGCTTTGGGACACTGACATCAGAAGGAAACAAGGGTCCCTGGTCCACACATCAGGCAGCATAGCCAATGACACAACCAGAGTCAGAGACAATCTGTGCTCACCTTCTTAGCTCCTAGTGCTGCTGGCCTAGTCCAAGGCTGATGTTCTGGGGCCTCTGCAGCAACATCTGGAGGGGAGGTGCAGCTGAGGCTGGTCAGGGACTAGGAGAGTGTCTCAAATTTAGGTGTGTATTTCAATTACCATTTCTGGATGCAAAGCCATTAGGTGCCTTGAAACACAGAGAATATCTCCATGAGTGGATAGTTTGGGCTGTAGCTGTAGTAACGTAGAAGCATAGAAACTAGAAGCAGAAGTAGGCCATTTGGCCTTTCAAGCCTGTTCCACTATACAGTACGATTGTGGCTGATTCTCCATCTCAATGCCACATCCTTACTTTCTCCCCCCATAGCTTTTTATGATTTTTAAATCTTAAAAAAAAACTTTCTTGAATATACATAGTTACTTGGCCTCCACAGCCTTCTGTGATAAAGAATTCACACGTTCACTATACTTTAATTGAAGACATGCTTCCACATCTCAGTCCTAAATGGTTTATCCCATACCATTGGTTCCATCTTCTCTACTCTCCAGTTGCATCTTCAAAAAAAAACGTTATTAGATTTGTTCAAAATGATTTGTCTTTCATAAAATAATGCTGGCTTTGTCAAATCCCATTAATGTTTTCCACATGTTATTATTGTATGTTTTAAAATAGACATTTTACCCGCTAACGATGTTAGAGTAACTGATCTGCAATTCTCGGTTTACAGTCTCCATCCTTTTTTAAATTGTGGGATTACATTTGTCACCCTCCAATTTGTAGAAACTGCTCTAAAGTCTGTAGAATTTTGGAGAATGACCACCAATGCATCCAATATTTCAATTTACTATTCTTGACAAGGATTACTAGGCCCTGGTGAATTGTCAGCCTTTAACCCCACTAATTTCCCTAGCACAATTTTCTTATTAGTACTGATTTTCTCCAAATCCGCACTCTCCCTTGGTTCCCTAACATTTCCAGGAGGTTATTTGCACCCTCTTTTTTGAAGCTAGAACAAAAATACATGTTCAATTCATCTGCCATTTCATCTTTCCCCCTTATAATTTCCCCAGCTTCTGATTGTAAGGCATATACATTTGTCTTTACTAATCTTTTCTCTTCCTTATTGATAGAAGCTTTGACAGTCAATTTCTATGTTCCTTACAATTTGATTCTCATATTCTATCTTGCTCCTTTGGTCAAAATGTTTGTCCTCTTTCTCCAAAATAGTCCCAGTCCCCAGGCTCGCTGCTTTTTCTGGCAATTCTATATGCCTCCTCTTTGGACCTAATACTATCCCTAATTTCTTTTGTAAGCTATGGTTGAGCCACCTTTCCTCTTTTATTTTTACACCAGACAGGAATGAATAATTGTTATAATTCATGTACATGTTCTTTAAATATGAACTATTGCTTGTCCACTGTCCAATTCACACCTCATATCCTTGTATCTCCCTTTATTTAGATTCAGGGCCTTGGTTTTGGATTTGACTACTTCATGCTCAATCTTAATGAAGAATTCTATCGTGTTATGGCTGCTCTTCCCCCAGAGCAAAACTGTTATAGTCATTACACTTTACAGTAGTTATAGTCTGTTATAGTCTTTCTTGGCCTTGGCTCCCCATGGCTCCCTCTTGGGGACAGGGAGCTTCTGGCATGCTGTGGAAAGATCAAATCCATTGCAAACGGCTTCCTCCCGAAGTGTTCGTTAGGACGCTGCATCATTGGCAAACTGTCAGCATAGTTACCAAACAAAATCTTGTTGGGTCCATCATCAGTTTAATTGTCTACCTGCCTTTGAGGTACATACAACCGATCTAGGTTCCCAACCACTCAGGGGGAACTGCGATGGCAACTAGTATACAACAGAAATGAAAGCTAGTCAACCAAAGCCCTGTCTAACTGCAGTAAAACATCCCTATTTCTGAACTCAAATCCGATTGCAATGAAGGCTAATGGACCATGTGCCTCCCCACTCACCTCTGAGCTGACCAGCACTGGACAGGAAGATTAAGAATTCACCCCACATGACTCCTTGATAACGTTCACATCACTCAGTACAATACCTTGCACAATATCACTATCTGAAGATCTGATTTACTTAAGTGTCATTGGTCACAGAGTTCTGTTTTACTATTCAAAACACAAAGCCTAAAATGTCTTCAAATGCTATGGCATAAATACATAGAGAGGACAGTGGAGCACTTTGGGCTGATTCTGGAAGGCTGGTCAAGCAACCAGCCCTGGCAATATTGATCTTTATTTCCAAACAATAATACAATATGACAAACTACCAACTGCTAGCATGGAATATTGACTGTGGACACTGACACTGAAAGCTGGCACCTTCAGATAAAACTAACAGGAAAAAAATAGGTTAAAATGGATTTGGAAAATGATGCTTGTGGATCATCTGTGCAATGCAATTATGATCTACTTATCAAAGTCTCTGCAATTTTAAGTGGATTTGTGCAGAGGCTAAAATAATGCCATAATGCACTTCATAATGTTTCAATTCATAATAAGTAAATCTATTAAAAGACATTTAGATGCCTATTAAAATGCCATACGAGCTGTTTGTGAAAGCTCTTTCATATTTATAACCAAAGGCCATGTGGTTTCTAGGTGGATTTTGTCATTTTTAGCCCTGTTTTAAATGAAAAGAGTAATTCATTCTTGAGACTGTAAAATATAAATTTAACATTGGAAAGACCAAAGAACCCTAGAGTCTGTTAACAGGTGTGGTTATTTGTTCTTGTGGAATTTTTTTCTTCTTGATAGAAAACTTGTACAGGATCCTAACAGGCACAATTCATTTCATGGCAATGTGGTGAAAAATACATTTCACATGTAGTAAAACCGAAAAAAACATGTTTCATTTCAATCTCGAAAACAGGAAAGCTTGTGATGATTGAATTTGGTTCCAAGCGCAACTGAATAGGTATGATCTATTTATATTCACATGTTGTATCTGTATTCTTAAATAACTCATTGAATTGCCAGAGAAGGACGAGTGGTCTAGCAAGAAGACAATGCATAATAACATCAAAAAATGTGGATACAGTATTCATTAATATTAATAGTTTTCTTCCACATTTCTCTGTGGAACAAAATGCATAATGAGCTGTATTTAATTCTGGTGACAGAACTCTCATCCACTAGCTGAAGGGCTGGCAAGAGCCTCAAAGGCTGTAAGAGCTGGAAAAAACATTCAATTGGTAGGAACAAGCATACCACAGGGTCAAGAACAGTTCAACAGGGGCAGTTCCTGAGTGCTGGCAGCTGCTGGTCAGTGACCAGCATCTCATTCTTGATCAGCCGCACTATCATGGAAGCCAGTGGTTATTAATTCACCCATCCGAGACTCGGGATCGTCACGCACTCAAACACTGGGAAATGGTGGCAGGAGTCACAGGATCGCAGAGTGGGAGTGAAGGGTCAGTAAGGGGACGGTCATGAATAAAGATGGGTGGGGATGTCTCGCAGTCAACCCTGCCAGGTCTAGCTCCCTCAATTGGGCCTTTGAATGAGAGGTGCCAACACCACCCATCCAATTCAACCCCACAACCCCCCATCCCACCTAACATCCCATCAACTTCCAAACCCCAACCTCCAGACTCCTGCAAGAAAAAAATGCCAGGGCTGGGTTTTCCAGCTCCCTGCATTGCCTACGCTGTATCCTCACACGGTGACTCCTTGTTCTGGTCGGAATGTTTGGAGCCTCTACCATCACAGACTACAACATGCATGGAAAAATGCGCATTGCCACAGCAACTAGGACTCCCTGGCTGAATTATGACCCACCACCACATAACTGATACAAGGTCATTGTTATGGGGACTGAGACAGGAACAGTGGGTGTTTGGGAAGGTGGCAGGTTATCCTTGAAGGTGTAGCTCCCCCCATTCCACCAAAGCCATGCCTCAAATGAATTATAACATTTTGTCCCACTGTGTGAGCTGCAGTTTCCCAGAACCTCAATTCTTACCACTCAGACATAAAGCATAGTAGGCTACAGTAATATCACTAAATCATTCACCTACTCTCTTTCCCTTTGAAGTATTTTCTGTGATTCATCCAAACGGAACTGCAGGGCTATGGTTTTCATGGAGTCACTCTCAAAGGGCTGTAGGCTATCTTCCAGCAGGAGCTTAGCTCTTTCAGTACAGACGGTAGAGTGACACAAACTCAAGGTGGCAGAAGACTCCAGACCTTGTCCTCCTCCATGACGCTTATCTCTCAGTATATTTTCAATTATATCAATACCCTGGGAACAGACCACATCAAATATTTACAATATTAAAGACATGTGTGACATGAATAATACAGACATCTGTAATTTTAAATACTGTAGTTTCACTGGAAAATGTTCTGAGTACTGGAAAAGAGCTTTTCCACGAATTTGGAATCAGGAAATGACTTAATAAGGTACACCATGTGTGTGAGTCATGCCATCTGAGGAATCTCATTAATATTGCAGCCGTCAGCTAGGTTATAGCCCACAAAATATCCATGACAGCCCTTTGCATTGTCAGTGTAGGAAAAATGGAAAAATTTATTTGCGTGATGTCCATTTTGAAGAGGATAATCTAAACAGAAAGATAGCAATAAATAAGACCTTTTTTTAACATAGTGCAACTCAATGTCAGGTTTGTTGACGGCACAAATAACGTGACATTTCTAGGAAGACCTTTTAAAGTCTCAGTTGTTTCTTTTTGCCCTGTGTGAAATGTCAACACTTGCTTAGTGTTTATATTGTAATTCTTCCACATTTACAAAACCAGAGATTGGATCAATCCACTAAATTACAGCAAAAATCAAATTCAAGAACAGGCAGGCTTTACACCATTTCATCTGACATTACCAGAATGGTAATTTCACTGGTTATGCAAGCAGCCTGGATTATATATCTTGGCAATAGTAGTTCAAATCATGCAGCTGGTGGAATATAAATTAAGTTCATAACTTCTGAAATTGAAAGCTAGACTCACTAATATAGACAATAAAACTACTGTCAATCACCATCAAAACCTATCTGGATCACTAATGTTCTTTAAGGAAGGGAAATCTGCAAATTCTTACCTGGCCTGGCCTACATGTGACTTCAGATCCACAGCAATGTGACTGACTCTTAACGGCCCTCTAAAATGCCTGAACAAGTCACTCAGTACAAGGGCAATTAAGGAGGGGTAACAAATGCTGGCCTTGCCAGTGACACCCACATCCCATGAACAAATGAATTAAAGAAAAACAGACGTGTCAACCTGTCAATGTCCCCATCCCACACATTCTACCCTGCCGCTAGTATCTGTCCAATATGTTTCACAACTCTAACTAAAGAAAGTGTTGCTTAAATTTCTAATTTAAGTTTTACTCCTTTAACTTTAATTCAGGTCTCCTGCATCTATCTCCAATAGTTTTCATGAATCTAAATTCTCTACTCTTTACAAATCTCAAAAATGTGGTGCAGTTCTAGTGTCCCTACCTCTGGACCAGGAGGCCTGAATTCAAATCCCACCTGTTCCACTAATGTGCCATAACATGCCTGAATAGAGTGATTCAAAATATCTAAAAAAGTTTTTATTGTTGTATACTGATACAAGGTCATTAACTTGAAATATTGGGGGGTAATTTTAACTGAAACCACTCAGTGTGAAACCAGGGAGTACAACATTAATTTTACTCCTCACTCAGATTACTTCAGTGGACAGTAAAAATGTGTGGGGCATTAAGCCAGCTTGGCACCGATCCATTCAGTTTTCTAATGGATTAGGTTAAAATGGGCCCCAGGACACTTTCTGTTCTGCTGAATGTTTCCAGTGTTTTTGACATTTATTTATGATTTCTGCTTTCGCCTTTATTTTAATTCATTACAACAAAGTGGGATGATGGAAGGTTAAGTTTCAGGACAGATGATCTTTCCATGTAGTTCATCTCTTAAGTTCAAGTATCAACCCCTTTGTCCATCTCTGGACAACCTTAAAGAATCCTACCACATTTCCTGTAATATTAACAGGGTAAATGACAATGATATTTAATTAAGATTTATATTTGATCGGGTCTGGGTATATTTATATGTATCCTTATCCATTTAGTCATCTATTGTTATTCAAAAGATTATTTACATCCACAATTAAACTCTTTTATAAATTCAGTTGCTACAATAATAATGGCAGTTTTAGACAAAGACTTCTATATTGTATAGTCACTTTGTTTGTGCGTTATACAAAGCAGAAAACATTGTAAAGTCCTGAAGTGAAATTCGTAACTTAGCACTAAACCGTGTTGGAAAGTGCAGGACGTATAGGAAGAATACAAGTGCCAGATAAACACTGGAATGAAAGACTATAGAGACCACATGAAGAAGGGTGTGTTAGGAGGTGTGGAAGACACCCTTAAACTGTATTTGGTGACGGATTAATCCACTACTGTGGGAATACGTTGCCAAAAAGAAAACTGTCCAAGTGTTCCCAATAAACTCTCTCACATATTCATTTAACTGCTGTGTTAGCACCTTCTCAAATTTGCTAAGTTTATTTAAAGATTCCACACAATAACTGTTGATGAATTTTTATCTGTTTTTGAAAGGCATGACGTAAATCGGTCAAATGGATATCATCATAAGGCATCTATACGGAACGTCACAGTGATAAAACTAGCTCGTCCATCTATTATGTGAAGGCAGCAAAAGGCTATAATCCAAGTTGAGTGCAGGTTAGCAAGCAAGTAGCTGGAATGAAGTGTGTAACTTTACACTGCCTAAATTTTCATTCTACCTTGTCATTATGTATTTTGCAGTGGCGG